TTGGGGCTCCCTGCTTTACAAGGAAACAGGGACATGGTGCCCCAAAAGCCAAGATGGGGTCTTCAGAGGGCCCGGAGCTATCTTCCTGGGAGCAGGGGTTGAAAGGCCCGGCCGAGGGGAAGGTGGCCAGGCAGTCACCTGGGCAGTGCCTACAGCCCTTTCACAAACAACAGCCATGGTGCTCTCTCATTTGCCAGGAGAGGAAACTGGGGACTGGAAACCCAGGGACTCAAAGACTTCACAGCAGAAATGTGGCGAAGGTGGGCAGAGCAATTCCCCACCTCCAGGCCTCCCTACCACTGCCCTCCAGCCTCTCAGATGTCCACAGCCAGAGGGGAGGCAGGCGCTGGGCTTGTGCCTGGTTCACAGCTTTGAACAGGAGCGGCAGTGTGGCCCTGAGAATCTCGGGTCCCCTTGTCACTACCCAAGAGCAACCCGTGTGTGAGGCCCTGTCAGCATCTGTGGTCTTCAAAGGAGCCCCATCTACCCGGGGCACCACATCTCATCTCCCCCACCCGCCCAGGCCCCGCCGAGACACCCTCCAGCTGCCCAGCCTCCCCTCCTCAGACCCGGACCCCAGAGGCCCTGTGTGAGGAAGCACCTCCAGCCCCTCCTGTTCACTGAGCACGCGCTGCAGGCTGGAGGGTTAGTGGAAAGTGAGGCAGATGCGATCCCCTCTTCGAGAACACAAGCACTCTGCACAGCACCTCTGCAGCTCAGCACCATGGAGCCTGGGCTTGGAGAACCACGCTGGGCTGCTGCACCCACCCTGTGCACCATGGGATGCTGAGCAGCAGCCCTGACCTCTACTCCCAAGGCCCAGCAGCACCTGTCCCCAGTCCTGACGACCAGAATGTCCCCAAACGTGGCCAGCTGTCCCAAGGCCCAAGCCACTCCTGGAGGAGAGCCCTCACTAGGAGACAGGAGGGGGCTAGGTTCGAGGTCCGAAGGGAGGAGCACTTGAGCCTGCTCAGTCTGATTGCACCGGATGTGTCCAGCCCTGCACAGGGAAGGACCGGGCCAGGGAGGCCCCACTTCCCACTGGCCGGAGAGGAGCACTGTGGATGCACACAGACTCCTCCCTCAGCAAGAAACTGGAAACTCAGGAGAAGGCGCAGAGGCCAGGCTGGGGATGGCACCTGGGCCACCGAGGGGCCGGTGCAGAAAGCCCTGCCGGAGCCTGTGTGGACACAGGGCCATGCGATCATGGGGACCGGCACAGAGGCACAGGAGGAAGCCTGAGTCCTGGCCCTGCCACCCTGCACGCTGCCCACAGCCCAGCTCCCTTGGCTGCAGTCCCAAGCGTGGATGCACACGCCAAGCAGAGGCTCCAAGATGTGAAGGCTGCAGGTACCTCCCGGCTAGGACCCCGACCCTGCCCCTGGCTGAGTGTGTCACCAGCCTTGTGTGGGCCTCAGTTTCCTGTGCAGAAACAGAGAGGGTGAGAACCCTGTCCTTGCGATACCAGCTGAGCAGGGAGACCTGCAGAGCCCCGGGCCCCTGGCGGGTGGCCTCCCAGGGGCAGCGAGCTCCATCCGCAAGGCTGGTGGGCTCTGCAAGCATCACAGGCGCTGCGTCTCTGCCCTGACTCCCCCACTGCGTCCTTGCGGCACAGGGGCCAGGTTGGCCTGCAGGGAGCCAAAGGAGACGGCGCCAGCCCCAGGACAAGCAGCAGCAGAGCTGTCCCCCCGAATCCCAGCCCTCTGTCCTCCCCCGACCTCCTGCTGGCCCGGCGGGTGTATGGTCAAGGAGCTCAGTCCTGCAGGTGGAGAGCGGTGCCCGGGGACAGCGGAAGGACGCCCTGGAGAACCAGCTCGGGTCCTTCCTCCCCGGGGCACGCCACACCCTCAGGCAGCACCAAATTGCCACTGGACACTGGCCCGCGGGGAGAGGGCCCCTCAAGCACTGGTGCACGGAGCAGTCCTGCGACGCCTCACACGTGACCTGGGGGACGCCAACCCATCCCACCTCTGCGGCCCAGGTCTGAGTGTCAGCCGCTTCCCCATGCCGATGAGTCACTGAGTCACCGCACCAATGCCAGGCTCTGCACCAAGCGTGCTCCGGGGAGCACCAGGCCCGCAGCAAGGCTGAGGGCGCCCAGGACTAAACAACAAGAGGCAGTACCCCGCTGCCAGGGCTTTGGGGTTCTCCCATCCCAACCTCTACCATGGACCCTTCCCACGGGCCCTCTCATCTGCCCCCACGACCGCCCCAGCAGCGGGGACGGCCACGCAGAAATATCCAGGTGATAGAGGAGCAACGGACACTCGGTAGCTGCGAATACTGAGGCTCAGGGAGGGAAAGCCATTTCCGGCCTCACACAGCTGAGCAGCAGGGGCTTGGGCTGACCGGCACCCACACGGGCCGGCTGGGGTGAGAATCCTGGCGTGTCCCTGCTGCCCCACTCCCCTTCTCTCCAGCGCCTCCCGCCTCAGCCTGCCTGCGGCTCTGCGCCGGGACCTGCTGGGCCGGGCCAGTGGTGCAACACCCGACAGCCTTGCAGTTGAACTGCTCTGTCATGTATGGCAGGCTGGGCCATCTGCTTCCTCCCCGCTGCCCTCTGCCCTAGCGGGATGCGGGGAGACATGCAACAGTCACTTTATTTCTGGGTTCAGGCCTCCTAACTGGCTGGGATTGCTCAACACCTCCCCAGCCAGGCCGGAGGGGTAGAGTGAGGCTGGCAGGTGCCACGGGAAGTGGGAGGCATCTGGGGCCGCTGCAGGCACTGTGATTTTCTCCTCCAGGCCTGGCAGGAAAATACCCAGCCCCGGCCTCTCGAGCTTCTGGGGGACTTTTATTCTCCAGTTTCCGTTTTTCCTTTGTAATTCAGAAAAACTCTGTCTGTGTAACTCAGGAAAATGACCAGGGTGAGGTAGCAGGCTCTTGACAGAAGGGTGTGGCCCTCCATGTCCCAAGCCCAGGTCAGCGCAGGTCACCCCGGCCCTCCACATCCACCCGCAGAGAGAGCTCACCCCACGGCGTGGTCTGCACACCGCGCCCCGCAGCCCCTGCTCTCCACCCTCCTGCCTCAGCCTCCCTCCCCCCCTGACCCCACGGGGCACCCCTCAGGACATCCCTGCTGTCAGCCTTGCTTTATACCACTCCCCCGCAGGACCCCAAGAAGCTCTCGGGTGTTTCTGGGCTGCAAAGGGAACACACTCCAGCAGCAGGTGCCTGGCCACAGTGCCCAGGCTGCTCCTGCTACCCAGGCGTCACCTCCAGGCCTCAGCCTACCACCTCTACTCCCCTGCCACCTGCTCAACAAACAAGCAGGGCCACCCTGGGCCCCACACTGGGCTGGAGCCGGAGTCGGGCCTGGGCAGAGGCGGGCGGTGGCCCTGGACAACCACAGGCCCCACAGAATGACTACATGGCAGCTGCTTCATAAGAGCGTTGTGATCATTTAATTACCTACACCATCGCTATCTCTGATTTGTACAGTGAAGTGATCACTTCAGCAATTATGTTGCCAGTTATAAATTAAATTATCCTGTGTAGAATTAAAGAGAACTGACTAATTCTACTCATTAGTGTGATGAATGGCATCACTATTCACTGATATGATCATTGTAGAATTATAGTTATATGTTATAGTTCCTGGACATACTTTCTGATACTTATAACTACGTAACAATGCATGACATGTAATTACATGAGCAATAAATGCACGTGTGTGTGTCTGTAGCATTTGCTGCATGGCAGGAGCTGTTCTATGCTGGTCGAGGGCAGAAGATGCAATAAAAAAAAGTAATAAAATCAGCCAGATGGGGTGGTGCATGCCTGTCATCCCAGCACTCTGGAAGGCTAAGGCAAGAGGGTTATGAGTTCCAGCCCAGCCTGGGCAACTGAGTGACTTAGTGAGATCCAGTCTCAAAATAAATAAATCAAAAAGGGGTGGGGATGGAGCTTAACATAAAGGTCCTGAGTCTAATTCCCAGTACCTCATCAATCCATCCATCAATCAATGAAGGCAGTTGAGGTGGGTAGGACCAGACCAGGTCAGCGACCCACATGACAGACACTTACAGTGGTGCCAGTGAATGGTGTGCAGTAGATTTTTCTTTAGAAAGAACATCTAGGACTGGGGATTTACCTCAGTGGTGACTCCGCCTGACTCGTAAGTGCAAGGTCCTGAGTTCAATCCCCAGTATGAAAAAAAAAATTCTAAAGATTTCTGAGTAATTAGCTTGCAAAACTTTCAATTGTGGAGAGCCTGAATCATGCCCCAGTCATCCCTTTCTGACCCAGGGCTGCTTCTCTTCCCCCACAGACCCATCAAGGGCCTGCGGGCGGTCCCTGACCTGCAGATTCCACCAGGACTCCAAGGGCCCAGCAGGTCCCTCAGATGTTTGACCTCGGGGGGAAAACAAGAGTTTTGCAGAAAGGGATCATTGAAACCTCCGTCTCTCAGGCATTTTTACTATCCACAGCACGAACGAACGCATCCTTTCACGCTCCGCTAGCTGTCAGGGGATCTTCTCTGAAGTCGGCTCCCATCTAAGGTCCTAGCAATGTCCCCAGGACCCCAGTTCTCACTGGGCAGACAAGAGCTTCTCAGAGACCCAGCTGCTGCCCACAGGGATTAACACAGCTTCCTGCGAGAGCCGGCATGTGGCCAGCCGCTGTCCTTGTCCCTAGGCTTCCACACTGGCCAGACAACCCCTCCTATGGACAGACTCATGCCCGCCTGGTCCTGGTGCCCAGCTCGTGTGTGCCCACCCACCGGGTCCCTGCAGCTCCCAGGATGGGGGCGCCAGAGTCACCCCTCTTGGCCACTCACAGAAACCCGGACGGCCAAGCCTAGCACAGTACTGATGCCTGCCCACCTCCAGGGGACTCGGTGCCACCAGCCAAGGCCCAGACCCCTCACTGGCTATGGTTCCAGGATGAACAAAAGACAAAATCCTTGCAGTCACAGTCATGGTGCCCATAACTCCCTCTCTAGATCCTAGATCTGGTAGAAACTACAAAATATCTGGAAAAAAAAATACCACAGCAGCTTTATAAAAGAGCACTTTATTTCAATAAAGAATAAGATCAATATATTTTTCCAACGATACAAAAATAAATATTCATTCCACATATTAAAGACATGCTTTCACATTGCAACCGGGAGCGAAACCTCTGGTTAGCTCACCATCAGCTCAGCAAACGGTCTGGCGGCCATAGGAAAAGGCTCCCTCCGAAGCCGGGAGGCCCCGTCTGGGCGAGCTCTGACTTTCCAGGTTTTGAGTCCAGACTGCCCAGGCCCTGTCTCCCAAACCCCAGACTGCCCTTACCTCCCACTGTGAGACTCAGGTACATCGGGGTCACAAGGAGAAGGGATCCTGCTCCTGTCCCCAGCAGGGAATGGACAGGACCTTCCCCACACCCCCAGGCCTGCCTGGGATCTACACCCATGATGGTCCCACCCAACCACTCAACATCTGCAACAAGCAGGGCTCCCAACACCCATGCAGCCCAGTCTACTGGTGCCTGGGGGCACCCAGGACATAGGCATCTAAAAGGGCCTTCAACAGGCAAAATACAGCATTTTTTTAGAAAACATGTTCAAGTATTTTTAATAATGCACGTGTTGAAGTGGTTTCGGAGATACATTAGGGCAGAAGCTGGAAAGTCAGAGGCATGAAAGGAGTGAACGGCCTTGGCCATTACGCCAAGCCACCAAGCCTGTGAGCAGGTCCCCACCGTCTGTCCAGAGGAGAAAGGCAAGACCACTCCCAGCTCCGCTGCCCTTGGCTGGCATAGGTGTGGGCTGGGGAGCCCCGCAGAGTGGCAGGGAGGTGGCAGACAGCCCCTGCCACAGCCCCCAGGACGCCCCAGATGAGATGCTAAGGAAGTCCCATCTGGCCACACCCCAGCCCAGGTGGGTGGAGTCCACTGAACACATGCAAAACTCGCCTGCGATTCACAGGCACTTTCTAAACTTACAGTTTGCATCCTGCTCACTTTAAAGAAAAAATGATTCAAAGCAGTTTACAATAGAACACGTAGGTAAGGCAATTACAAGTACAAATATTTTTAAAACAAATCAAAACCTTCTAGAAAGAGAAGAGAGAGGAATCTGGAATGATTTCATTACAAAAATAAAAAGTTTAGCTCTCAGCTTCCAGGTAACAGAACCCCAGAGGAAAAGTGTGCCTTGTCTGAAAGCCAAACCCCCGAGGCCCTACACCAAATTCCAGGAAGAAACAATTCTCCCAACAAGCCCAGGTTTCGGCTCTTACCCCTTAACAGAAGGCTTGTAGCTAAATACTGAGAAATCTTATTAAAGAGTTTAAAAGTAAATAGAGTCTATGCTCCACATAGAATCCAACTTGTGAACTTCGCCTGTACCCACAGGAAGATGCAGACAATGAAAAGCCTGATCCCACGAGCTGACACTGAACACCTCACTCCTGACCCCAAGGAGCTGTCACAGGAGCTGTAAGTCTCTGGAGATGTCACTTAGCCCCAAATGCAGAATGAATCACAGCAACTAAGACCAATGAAAGAAAAATGCAGAAAGCACAATTTTTAATCACGGGTTAGAATTACAGGGCCCAGGCCACTGCCCGAAAGTCCCCTCCTCCTGAGCGAACAGAAGTCTGGCCGGCTGTGCCTGGTACGCACTCCTCAGGCAGCACAGCCAGGGGCCCACCTGGACTCAAGGGCCAGCGCCTGCCGCCGTCACTGTGACCGAGGGTCGCGGGCAGGGCGGGGTGCCGGACAGGCACTGCTCAGACCGTGATCTGCTGGTTTTCTCTGAAAAAGGGTCTCTGGTGAGAGGCACAAATCTCGGGAAACATCCGGAAGGCCTGGTCCGGCTGGGGCTCCTCGGGGGCTGGCAGCACAGCGCCCACACTGCAGCTCTTCCCCGAGTCCTCCACCAGCTGCCGGACATACAGCTGCTCCACCTGCAGGGCGGCACAGCGTCAGGCGAAGGCACCAGTGGGGCCTCCCACTGCACCCCAAGGATGAAGGGAGCGGGCGGCATTCCCAGCACGACTGGCCCATGCCCGGAAACCCACCACTAGAGGCCATTCCTTTGCTTAACTTAGAGAAGGGCTTAGCAAGTCCTAACCCGACTCAGACCTGAAGCTAACTGAGCTGGAGGAATCCTTCTGGAGAAGAGGCTCTGATTTTGAAAAGCAACCAAATAATGACACACACCACCGAGATGAGGACGGCCCGGCCCAGCCCACATCTGAAGGTCCACCCCACCCCAGGCTGCCCACGCTCACCTGCACCAGGATGAGCTTGGAGCGCAAGGGCGCCATGTCCGGAAACTCCTCCCCAAAGCACAGCACCACCCTGCTGTCCGGCAGGCGGGCCTGGCTGCCGTAGAACTGCTGTAGCTCTGGAGGACACAGAGGGCAGGAGGGTTGGGACTGGCTCCGTGCAGTGAGTTGGGGATGGTGGGCTGGGGACAGCGGGGCACGGAGGTGGCAGCAGGAGGAGGCTCAGCCAACCGAGTGCACTAGGCCAGCGCCACACCCCTCCATATGCCCTCAAACCGGTGGCCCTGGGGCCAAGGTCCAGCTGAGGCCTTGTGGGCTTGGCCATTGCCTGGGTGGCCCTGGATTTGGGTGCTTTCCATGCCCCAGGTCCCTAGTCCTCCACTCCCTGTCCTCCTGGGGACACTGTTCCCTCCCACTCCTACCTGGTCCCCACAGGTGCCTGTGCTTGCAACCCTCCGATCCCTCTCCCGGGAGCTGGTGAGGAACGGGACCCAGGGCCCTGCACCCTCCCCGGGAGCTGGGGCTGCAGCAGCCCCTCGAATGGCGCAGCCCTGCACTCGGGATGATGACCCCGGCCTCCCTGCTGTGCTGTGGACCCCGTCTCACACTGGGCTCTCGCCCTGCGGGGCAGCAGTGCCCAGCACCAGCTCTGGGCTGGGCTGCTCCAAGGCAAGGTGCAGACACGGGGAAGGACACCCAGCTTTTGAGGAGACCCATGCAGGTCCCAGACACCGGCCTCCCACAGAGGGGCGTGGGCAGCACTGGGAGTGTCTGGGTGTCACCGAGCACTCAGCGTGCACAGTGTCAGCGCATCTCAAATGTGCTCCATGTCCCAGGACTATGCCAGCCTGCAGATGCTGAACCGGGCCTGCCGAGCCCACATCTCCAGTCAGTCCCAGCCCGAGGTGACAGTGCCCAGGGCAACTGGGAGGTGGGGGTCCCAGGGCCACGTGCTGATCTGAGCTCTCCCATTCCCCCTCGGGAGACTGAGGCACAGAGACCCTCAAGAGCACTCCCAGACCAAGCACAGGCCATGGTTCAGGGGGCCCGGCTGCAGCCTCACCCACTTTCCTCCCCACCCAAGGCGAAGGTGCAGATGGCCCTCAGAGGGAAGCAGGGTCACTCCAGGGTGGCAGTACCGACCTCGGAAGAACTGGCTGGTGTCGAAGACCTGGACCACCTCGTCGCGCTCCAGCTTGTTGGGCCTGCCCTTGCGCACCACGGCGTTGCCACTGCAGAACACACGGCCCTGGCACAGCCGCTTGACGAACACGCCCTGACGGCTGCTGTGCAGGAGCACGCCGCGCTCCAGGTGCCCGAGCAGTTTCCGTGTCACCTGCCTTTGGCGCTCGGTGGCAATGGTGTCAGCCGGCGGGAAGCGGACCAGCTCCAGGCCCTCGGGCCCGTACAGCTTGGCGCTGGGCAGCCCCGGCGGGCCCAGGGCCAGGCGGCAGCCCTCGGGGCAGGTGGTGGTGGCCTGGCCCACCAGCTTGCCCCCGTAGTAGAAGCTGATCACCATCTGGGAGAAGGCTGCGGGGGACAGGGGCGGTCACTCAGTGCTCAGCCGTCCGAGGGCCACTCCTAGCGCATGAGACACACGCGCTAGGGAAGGTCACGCGCCACTCAAGAGTGCCGCTCTCAGAAGCAGAACACGCAAAGGAAGACTGGGGAGGCCAGGTGTACACCCCACCCCTGCCACACTGAGCTCATTCTTTACATCCAAGGCCAGGGGAGGCCTGGTGACTGTGATGGACGCCACCACTTATCACGCTGGAAGGGAGGAGATGGAGTGTGAATCGGGGAAAGTGAGGGTGTCGCCTTCTCAATATGGTCTGTCCCTGGGGCTCCCGGGGTTCAGAAACCTTCCCCCCAAGCCCTGGCACAGAGCAGGTGCTGCCAGTGGACTGCCACAGGGCCGAGAGACCGGTCCCGAGAAGAGCCCACGATCCCCCCTGGCCTGCTGGTGGAGGTGAGCAAAGGAAGCAGCCGCAGTGCCTGCCGACGGACCCTTACCACCTCCCGCCTGACAACTTCCTGTTAGGACAGCGGCAGCGAACCGAAATCGGGGCTCCAGCCAGAATTCACTAACGCTGCGCTTGGCTGTCAGGGCATCTCAGCTCTGGCCTCTGACACCCTGCTCCCAGCACGGCTCTTCCTTCTGTAGGCAGAGAGAGCGGCTTCCCACTAGGAAGAGACACCCGGCGACAGTCACACAGTGGCCCTGGACCTGCTGTTTCCGGCCCTTATCTCAGGGCCGCACCTGCCAGCTGTGTGTGAACAGGCGGTGCCACCGGGAACAGCATGGGGTCTCGGAGCCAGGGTGAAGGCAGTGAGCGGGCTGCACTGCACACATGTGACACCAGGCCCCGCCCAATGCAGAATCCCAGCGCTGCAGCCGCTCAGCTCTGCAAAGCAGGGCTGGCAACAGCACCCGCCTACTGAGGCTCCTGCTCAGCGCACGAAGCGCAGGGCCAGTGCTCACTTCATACTCCAGGGCCAGGACGAGACAGCTCTCCACAGGGGACTCCTGAGCCACAGTGGTGGGCTCTGGCCCATGGGGCACCATGAGGTCTATGCCCAGGGCTGGCCGCAGGCCCCCCAGAAGGCGGACCTAGCATGAGGACTGTTTTCCAAGTAAGGGAAGGAAGGCCCTGTGGGGCGGGGGAGAAGGGGGTCTGCCCAGGGGCACAGCTGCAAAGCGGGGGCCCTGGCCTTATGCCCCACAGGCTGGCTGAGTCTGCACCCTATGCCAAGCTCGCACACACATGGGGCAGAGGCATGGCATCCACCTCCCAGTGCAGCAGTAAGGGGACCTGGGGCCAGCGTTCCACTCCAGAGTTCCCATGAGGGAAACTCGAGCCTGGCCAGGTCCAAGCCTAGGGCACGGCCACTCCGAGCAGCCCACCCCAGGGCGCCTCTCCACCCCGCGGTCTCCCCACTGCCCAGCATCCTTGCTGTCCACTCCTCCTTGCATCACTGAACCAGCCAGCTGACCGGGGTCCCTCTAGGAGGTGTCAGACTCCGGGGCAGGGTGGCAGCAGAGCCACTTCCCCCACCGCATACTGAGACCACAGATTGTCCTCGCCTCTCCCTCTGATGCCCACAGCGCCGAGCAGGCTGTGGCTCGGGCCTGGCACCCACAGAGCCGCCCAGCTGCAGGACAGGCTCCAAACAGTTTTCCCAGCTGGGTGAGCACCCCTCTGCCCCGGGAGGTCCAGGGCACATGCTTGTCCGAGCCCTTGTCTCCCCCTGCCCAAGTCCCCCACTCCATGTTCTGTGGCCAACCTGAGGAGCAGAGTCCGTTCCCCAGAACCTGCGTGCTGGGGAGACACCAGCTTCCTCTGGCCCATGTCACCATCTGCTACCACAGCCTCAACCCCTGGGGCCCCGGCAGAGCATCACACAGCAAGAGGCCACCTCTGCCCACAGTGGGCAGGGCTGTGCAGAGGCAGTGGCATCAGAGCCCCTCCAGGGAACACAGTGAGGGGGTCGGGTCCTCAGCCTTGGCCCACACGGCCCTACCTCTGTCTTGGAACCTCACCCACGCCCACCACAGCACTCCGTACCTGCATGGTGTGGGTCATAGGTGGGGTACCCGGTCACCAGCGGCAAGCCTGCGGGGGACAGAGAGCAAATTCAGCCGTGCTGCGTGCCAGCAGCTGACCAGAGGCCCCAGCCATCCAGGCTCCCCAAGGCCAGGCCACAGCTTCTGCTGACCTTGCGCTTTCCCTGCAGGCCCAGATTTCTGAAATGCAGAAGCCAGACTGCAGCCAAACCAGAGGCAGGGGACTTCCTCTGCACTGTGGGGCGTCCGGCCCTGTGCCAGTGACCCTAAGACCACATTCCCTTCCCCCTAGGGGAGGGAACATCACTGGACCCCGTGCCACCAGGGAACCCGGGCTCTGAGCTAGCATTCTCCGAGGTGTCCCACAGGAGAGGAAGGGACACCAGACACTGCCACTCACACCTGGTCACTGACACCTGCTGGGCCGGCTGTCCCCTCCTGCTCACGGTGGAGACTCAAAGGTGCCCAGGTGCTGCAGAAGCCAGAGGCTGGGAGCGCATCCTGAGCAGCTGAGGGCTGAGCATGCCCAGCACAGCAATCTCAAGAGTGCATGCACCGTTATTACCTGTGACCCACAGGGCAGCCCCCATGGCCTCCAACTTACAGAGGAGCAAACTGAGCTCAAGAAGACCCACAGCTCCCAGTGTGGCTCTGAGCCATTTTGCACACCAACCTGGGCCCTCCTCCCTGAGATACCCTGCCCTGAGGGCTCCCCACTATCCAAACATAACAGAGCATCCAGGATGGGTGCAAGTGGCCCAACACCGAGTCCTTGGTCCAGCCCTGGGGACAGTCACCTGAGCCCTGCTCTGGCTCTGCAGAAGCACAGGAGGGACAGATGCACCTTGGTGGGGAGCCAGGGCCTGTCCTCACCTCCCTGGGCTCGGTACCCTCGACAGGACAACCAGGGCCACAGCACAGACCACCCACACCATCCCCAACGGGCTCACCTGCGCTGGGCTGCGGCACCCACCAGTCCGGGAGGAGCTGGCTCCTGCAGGCCTCTGGCGGGGACGGGCTCCTCTTGATCAACCCCATGTAGTCATCCACAGGAGGCTGCAACAGGCGAGAGAAGGCCACTCAGTCCTCAAACCACCAGCACAGCCCCAGTGCATAAAACCGAGCAATGGCTGCACAACTGAAGCCACATGACCACCTCTATCCCAGGAGACCGTTAAGCTTCACTTGCAACTTGAAAGGCCTTGACTGTAAGCCCCCCAGGCTAGCAAACAAGCATGCTGAGTGACCAGCCTCTTGCAGGCCAGCGGAAAGTTTGGAAAGTTTGCTGTCTTTCACAGGGAGCACCTGCTGCAAGCCAAGCACTGCAGGTTATGCAGCTGCCGGACGGCTGAGTTGGCAAAAAACTCTTCTAAGCACAGCAGGACACCGTGGGGGGGGGGGGCGCTCAGAGCCAAGAATCTGCTTGGCCAGTGGCCAAAGACCACCCAGAAACCCAACAGCTGCACCTGCAGAGGAGCTGGGCAGCACACAGCACCCAAAGAGCTCTACACATTTCTTGAGAGCCCACATCGTCTTTTTCGAGGGCTGTGGGGCATCACTTTAGTGGCAGAAGCCCACCTTGGAATATCCACAGAAAGCACAGGAAAGGGGCAAAAGATAGCATCCAAATAGCTAAAAGAGCTTCATGAAAATCCTCCATGTTTCACCTACAGAGGCCCGAGGGGCCCTCACTGGTAACCTATTAACTATGACTCTAGGTACACTTCTCACAGACCTGGTTAACTGGTTTTCCAACCCATCGAGGAATAAAATCTACACGTTTACAACACAGGCAAACTGACAGCCACGAGTGCTAGCACAAGAATCCATGTCACAGTGACAGCCAAGCAGCGGCACAGGCTGACATCCTGCTGGCTGCAGCCAGCCTAAGAAGGGTGGGAGCATGGTTAGAAGGCCGCCATCCAGAATGTTGACACAGATGAGACTGCAGCGCTTGAGAGAAGCTCAGTGACGCAGAGCGGCTCAGGAGGAAGGAGCAGATGTGCCCAGCAGGTGGAGGCCGGCTGGGCGCGCAGCCAGGGCTCCCTGCGCTCTGCATCTGCAGGTGTGCGCCGCTCGCTGGGACCCCGGCCCCACTCACCTCCTTGATCATGTCCTCCAACTCGGGGCGGCCACACTCCATCTCCGCGACGTCATTCACACAGCCGGGAGGCGCGAGGCCCAGTTTGCCTAGGGAAGCCAGAAAGCCCTGTCACACTGGGCACCAGCAGCACAGCCAGCCCTTGGTCACATTCCCGCTGCGTGTAAGAGTCAGCGGCACCCTCACTGTACCCAGCAGTGCCCGAGGCCTAGGAAAGGCATACGTCTTCACCCCCAGGCTTCGGTCGCTGGACCCCCAAAGTCAAGAGAGAAGAAGGCGGTGGGGGTTGTAAAAACAGCACTTTTAGGGGATGGAGACAGAGCTCCGGCCTCTTCCTTCTCTTCACTGAGACGCAAAGGGAACCCTGTCAGATATACGTTACCCCAGGTGTTGACTACCTACCCTACAGAAGTTAAATTTGCAAGCTGGGGGATTTGAAAACACCCAAAGATTTCCTGGCAAATGTGTTGGCAGGGTGAGGAAGTTTTTTAAAGGTAGTTGGCAGGAAATCTCTTTTTGGCCTTTCCAAATATATGCATATCTCTGTGCACACACAGCCCTAGCGCTGATAGCCCACTGGACCAGCCCATATCAGCACCTGCCCAGGGGTACCCAGGGTCTCCAGGGCGAGCACCCTCGACCAGCACTGCTCTCCCCTGGTCAGAAATTCACCTGTCAGCTTTAGCGGTTCAATTCGCATCCAGACCAAAAAACTCTTGCCGGCCTTCCGTGCCCGCCTCTGCCCACCCTTCCGTCCTCACTGAATTCTGATTCCATCTTGACAGATTCACGAATTCACCTAGAAGCTGCTGCTGAAGGAAAGGGGGCAGCCAGGGCACCCCCAGTGCAGCCCGAAGCCACCCAAGTACAGGTAGTGTGGCTCCATTTGTACACTATACAAATGTACCACGTGCTTGACCCTGAGAATCTGTCACTTCTCCTTTTACATCCTGCAGGTGACAGGGCCCCACCCCTGGCTATAACAAGTTACCGTCACCTGTGAGGTCAGGCTTGGCCAGTCCTGGAGGACAACGAGAGAAATGTCCCTGCAGCTTCCAGTTACACGCGATTTTGCAGTGACAAAACATTACCCAAAACTGGGGGGAAGGAAGAACAGTGTCTGCCTGGCCTTTCTGGACACATGGATGTGTTAACCGGACCCTACAGGCCATGTGATTCTCCAAGGGGACCGCTGTGTCAGACTCAGTGAAGTCAGGTGCTCATCTGCAGCTGGGGAAGCTACAAGTGACCAGGAGAAAGGATAACACCCCAAAACACGGTCGTATCATCCAGATCAGACATTCATCTTCCCGTCCTTCACTGACCAAACACACCACCGCCTCAGAGTCTCCAGGGTCTCTGTCACAGTGTCACTTCTGTCACTGGTGAGTTAAGTACCTCTCTGACACAGGCTCGCTGTGTATCTCTTTGAGTCATGATATTAACGTTCTAAAAATTATGCATCAACATTTTCAGCAGCTGAGAAAATCAATGTGCTAACAGAATGTTTTAAACCAGTGGTGGCAATTAGACTTTATCTCCTGAGCCAGCTCTGATTCCCAGCAGCTACACAGCCATAACTTTGAGAAGGATTCTCATCTGATTGATTGGTGATGTCTGGCCGGAACACAGGAATGAGAAGTAGCGGACCTGTGGCTTTTTGTTTTGTTTTGTTTTGCTTCCCCGAATGCTTTCGGGGTTACAGAGCTGGACGCGGTCTGAGGAAGGATCACATGCCAAAGTTCCCAAGCAGCTCCCAGGATGTGACAACACTCTGAGCCTGTCCCATCTGCAGCAGTGACACCGAGAGTCCTGCCTTCAGAAGCTCTTCTCTCAGCTCCATGACCCGGCCTCTCCGTGCACCACCCCGTCCCCTCATCCCCTCTGCAAGTGCAGAGACCCCCTGGGATTCCTCAAGAGAAGCTGCTGCAGGGTCTGTGTCCCGTCCAGGGGAGCTTGTCCTCAGCTTGTCCCCCTGCATGTCCCTGGCCTGGACCACAGCCCAGTCCCCTCCAGCTTCCCCGTCCTCGAGCCACCCCCTCAGCTGGAAGCTGCCACTTGACAGCGGATGGTGCATGAGGTCAGCGGAAAGAGACCTCAGCGCTGCTTACAGAAAGGAGAGAAGCATTTGTTTAACTAAAGCTGCGCGCCCAGACCCTGTGGCGACGCTGCCTACACCCACCCCAGACCCAAGCCCTCCGCAAGGCTGCAGACCTCGCAGCTTCTGGAAGTCTGAGTGCCCACAACCAATAGTTACATTTTTGCTCTTCCTCCGGGACAATTCTATAAACTTTGTATGGCTCGGAAATGTCCAGCTGGGATCGGTCTGTCACTTCCTCAAAATCTGGGCTCTTGTTCAAAGCACAGCGTAACCTTGTCTTCCAAGTGGCTGGTTCAGCTTTGTCTCCTTCTTTAAACTTCCCTTTAAAAACTGCCCAGGCCTGAAGGACAAAAGGGGAGCACGTTAAACACAGGAGGCCCCCTGACCACACATCTCCCCCGTGGGGCCCAGCACGCCCTCCTGCCTGAGTCTCAGGCCACTATCTCTCTGGGTATGAGGAGACCCAGGCCAGGCCGGGCATCCAAGTCACCCAGGGTCCTCCCACACCGCCCCTGGTCTGTGCCTTCCACAGTCCCTCCCTGGGCTACAGGGCTTGGAGTGGCTGAAGCTAAGCTGCTCAAAGAGGAAGTTGCACATGATTTCACTAGAATGTTCAAAACAGACTTGTTGCTTTTTCAAATCGTCTCCTAGCTAAAACATACTATGAAAAGGGAACATTTGCAAAAACACTAAATGTGGCCATTGACTCCCCTGCTCCTTTTAATAGAAATTTTGTTTTGCATTTTTGCAAGATGCTGGCCTTTCACCCCTCAACCCAAAGCCTTGCTTTAAATGCAATGAAGTGTTTTCTATCAGTTATGTTTTTCTCTTTTGAATAGCTCTGTTTTCTGACCTCTCCAAACCTCAGGATCTGAACTGGGACCAGAAATTCAAACTAGGAAACTTAGAAGTTCAACATGTTAAAAGACATGGGGGCTCAGGGGACCATGCCTGCCTCGCAAGTGCAAGGTCCCCAATACCAAAAAAGAAAAGAAAAAATACATGGGGCAGTATTTTAAAACTAAAACATGCAAATAACCATATTTTAAGACTCTAGAATTGGAATACAGTGGCCAATCAGGAGGTAACTGCTAATGGGTAAAAATTACTTTGTTTCAGGCAAAATCTGGCTGTGTTCTCCAGCCTAAAACAACAAGGGGTCTGGAGGGAACCCTCACTCCCAGTCAGGAAACTGCAATTCCAAGAGGAAAGCCGCATCCCCAAGGCAACCCAGTCCTGGGCTGGATGCAGCTGGACCAACTTCCAGTGCAGCTGGAGCTTAGGGTACCAGTAGCCCCAGGAAGGCTTGTGAAACGCAGATTCCTGGGCCCTGCTCCTTCAGTCCACCTGCAGCCCGTGCCAATCAGGTCTGAATTTATATTTCCAGAACCCAGAAGGGTGCCTTTTCCTCTCAAAAAGACACAACTGTTTATAGTTTAAGGCCAAGGCTCTCTCTCTACTGATGCCAAACTTGCATCTACGCCCTGGGAAAACAGAGCTGGAAGAACACTCCTGTCAGTGAACAAGGCAGTCCCTTCCTTTCCGAGAGGCTTCTCTAGTAACCAGCTATGGAAATGACCCTGAAAGTATAGGCTTAGTCCCTTCCTTTCCGGAACAAGACACAAACCCTGTTCAGGATGTGTCTTGTAAGTAACTGTCTTCTTTTTTTGTTGTTGTTTTTTGTTTTTTGAGACAGGGTCTCACTATGTAGTTCAGGCCAGCCTCAAACTAGAGATGATCTTCCTGCCTCAGCCTCCCAAGTGCTGGGACGACAGGCGTGTGCCACCACTCCCGGCGTGAGTAAATGGTCTTCGATTCTACCCTTTGCTGGCTGCATTGCTGACCATGCACCGATTTGCGTGTCGCTGTTGTAAGGAAGCAGCACAGCAAACCTTGTGCTAATGGAACAGTAACTTCAGGCTTTCTCTCACTCTGCCTTCCTGGTCTGTGGAGTTGGCTGGCTCTGCATGGAGCACCCTGTGCACTGCAGGGTACTCGGCAGCACCTGTGGCCTCGACCCATGGATGCCAGTAGCATCCTGCCCCCTTTGACATTCGGAAACGTCTACAGGCCTGGCCAAGTGTCCCCTGGGAAAAGTCATGCCCTCCCGCCCACCCTTGAGAGCCACTGGTTCCCCATCCTCCACCAGGACCTTGAAGCCATGGACTCCGCAGTAGTGGCATGACTGGTGTGCACCAGCACTGGCACCTCTGCCAGGCTCCCTCAGTCCCTAGCCACTCACTCACCAGGAGGAAGGCCAGGAGGCCCCATCCAAAACAGGCCCGGAGCCGGGACGTGTCCTGGGCTGCCACTGGTACCACCACACCAATCCCACCCCTGTCACCAGCAGGCACCTGGCCTCTCAGGGCGTCTCCGGCCGGCTCTTCCAGAGCTCAAATCAGACTTCGGATGATGCCAGCCCCCGCACACTCTCGGCAGCCAGGGCCAGGTCTCCCTCACCTAATGTTCTATCGCATGTCATGTTTTAAAAATTGATTCTTCCAGGGCTTGTGGACCCGGAACCGCTGTGCCCGAGGAGACCCAGCTGTCCGGCTCCATCAGCGTCAATGGCCGTTCATCGAGTGCCCGAGATCACAGCTGCACTTGGCCAGGTCCACCCGCCTGTCTTCACGAAAGAGGGAAGACACTTTTTTAAAACAAACCACGAGTTGGCATCAGGGCCTCCTCACTGTGCTCGGGTGGGACAGTGGGAGCTAAGTGCCTTTTTCACCATCCTGTCTGTGGCCAGTACATGACCTGGCTTCAAGAGGACACCGCAGGTAAGCGCGGAGTCTCTGGTGTAAGTGGCTTCTCACCGATGCTCACAACAGCAAGAAAGCAAACTCAGATTTTTTTTTAACTCCCAAATCTCTGAAAGATTTCCTTTGCACATTTGAAAAAGCAATGTCTCCACCTCACCTGCGGCACCCAAGACAGCTCCCCCTGACCCTGCATCAGTCTCACTGTTGGCTCGTTCCAGCAGCGGCCATGCCTGACGGCCACCTCAGGGCTGACCCTCGAGAGGACACGGAAGCGGAACCTCCGCATGACCAGCGCGGGAAAGCACGAGATGCTGCCCAGGACACCACCCTAGCTCTCACCGGCACCAGCCCACCGGCCTCCCACTCGGTGGGCACCCGTGTCTCCTGCCTGTCCCCGTTCCTGCTGAGATTGTAGACTCATTTCAGATTGCCACATCGAGCAACTGCGTAACCAACGGAAACATTGGGAATCTTGCACATCTTTCTCAGCACTGTTGAAACGGCCATGAAGAGCATTGCATAAGATGTATAAATCTGGGGCTTTATTTCATTACCCCAGTGCACTCGCCGAAGCAGGGAACGGGTGGAAGGGAGAAACTGCCTCTCTGCAGCCTGCCGGCCACTGTCCTCACCTCTGGAAGCCTGCAACTGAGCCCAGGCCCCCAATACCACCGCTGAAGCGTTGATCCCGGCCATGGTCAGCTCAGGACAGGGTTTTCCATAGGAAGGGTAAGACTGTGTTGCCAGGGGGCGTCTGGCAATGTCTGAGACATTTTTGGTTGCTGGGAAAGGGGATGCTACTGGCATCTGGTAGGAAAAGACCAGGATTGCTAGAAAATGTCCTACAAACCCCTCACAGCGGAAAGGTATCTGGCCCTAGAACTAACAGTGCTAAGGCCCGGAACCCTGGCCTGCAGCTACCAAAACCTAGAGTTCCCAGATGACGGGGCACTTGAGCACTGTGTACCCCGAGCAGAGTCATTCCAAAGAGAAAGTCCCCATGGCACCAAAGGCAAAAGACAGCTAAGAGCACATGCATGTGAAATCCATACTGGCCCTGCGAATGGAAGAGCAGGGGCTGGCCTCACAAACCCTGGGGTGTCCAGGTTTCCTGAGCCGAGCCTTCGATTGGAAGAAATCTGGGGGACACGTGGGCAGCGGGGGACCCCAAGAGTGAGTGCAGCATGTTCCCACGTGCCTGTTTTCCTTGAAGCAAGCAGTATAATTCTCAAAGACAAGCCCAGAGCACAGAGTTAACAGAATCACCAAAGCACAGAGCCCACTGCCAACATGGACCAGAGGCACCTGAAGGACTGACACATGGGTTCAAGCCAAGCCTGACCCAGCTGTGCCCTACTCTGGGCCAAGACTCAACCTTTTGTTCCCTCTGGTTACCTGCGTCAGAAGTCAGTCATCTGCAGCTCTGGTCCAGTGATGCAGTGCAGCCCAGCAGGCTGAGCTCCCCAACTTGCTCATGGTCTCAGGCCTGTCTCTGGTCCTCTGCGACTCAGCCCCTTCCCAAGCACTCCAACCTCTTCCCATCCCCTGCCCCATGTGCACACAACCCGGGCGCTGAGTCAGACCACCTGCGGACCTTGCCCATGGGTGACTCTGATGGCCCAGCTGGCCTGCAGAGCCGCTGCCCTGGTTCCCGTTTCTCTGTCTGAAACTAGGTGTGTGAACCATGGAGGCCAGGCCCGGCTCAGAACTGTCCACACCAGACATCACGACATCAGAGGGGGAAGCAGAGGGCCAGGCCCAGACATGGGCAAAGATGGCTCTCACGAGAGAGGAGAGCACATGGAGACACGGTCTCCCAGCTCAGGACACCTCGGAGCGGTGGCTGCAAGGCCAAGCAGAGGCAGGGGGACACCTGCACCACCACCAGGGAGAAGAGCAGCTGCTCGGTTTGCTGGGGACACGGGCTGACCTTGAAGATGGAGGCATCCACCTCCTGGTTATAATCCTGCTTGCCGGCGTGCTTCCACGGGATGCGGAACATGCTCTTCTCCTCATTCTCCCAAATCAGCCCTGGGTACATGTTGCTGTCGATTTGTTCAATCAGCCACTGCCGAAGCCGCCGCCCGCCATTCCTGTCACACATCCTTCAGAAGGAAAAATCAAATCCTACATATAACAAATGCTGCTTGATGAACCAGAGCCACTCAAGAACACAGCCAACAGGAAATGTGCAGGTTCACAACAGAGGTGCTGGCGTGGGGGAAACCCCAGGGTCAGGGACTCCAGGCCACCTGCCAGAAGACAATGCTGGCCTCCGTGACCCCAACCTGGATGAAAGCTTCCAGCCAGCTCCCCTCACCCCTGTGTGAGCCCCACCTTTGGTTCTGGCTGCACTTCCCGCTCTCCCTGACTTTCCGTCCCAGACAAACACGGCCACGTCGAAGAGCAACGTCTTCAACACAAGTTGAGGAAGTCACCTTCCCATGGTGCAGTGCATTAAGAAGCACCCCATTACCCGATGCTTGGTGGACAGGTGCCCCCAAGAAAGAGGAAGGCCTCAAGGCAGCCCTCCGGATTGTCCCTTCACAGCTGGTGGAGCAGCAGGAGCAAGAGCTTGGAATGAGACAGAGCTGCGATCCTGTTCCAGCCAGGGGACCCTGAAGTGTTGTTTAACCCTGGAGTGTCAGGGAGGACTGTCACACTGGCAGCACTGCAGCGAGAGTCCAGGCGCTGCACAGGAAGTAGCACCTGAGCCAAGGCTGGTGCCTTGGAAGAGTCCCTCGGTCACAGAGGTGGTCACCTTCTTCCTAGGGACTCTCACACCCAAGAGGGACAGTACATGAGGGGGAGAATGAACCGCAGCTACAGAAGAGCCAAGTAGCTGGCTCAACCCTTTGGGGGCACGGTGACCTCGGGACCCCAGGACACCCAAAGGACCCTTAGATGTTCCTGCCAGCGCTCACAGGTGGCTTCCTGGTAGCACAAAGGAAGAGAAGACACACATGCTGTCACAATTCACAGCCAGCACATACAAGAGCAGTGCTGGAAATCCCCCAGGCAGTTGGACAGACGCCCACCCAACAAAGAAACCAAAGAAACAGCATTTCCATTCTTCCAGTGAAATGTGACCTCTCTGGGCACACAAGTTTGAAGTGATCAGCAGCAACAAGACATAACATCCCCAAGAATATGGTCACGGCCAGAGCCGTGCTGGTCCACAGGCAAAACAAGTCAGTAACCTTTGCGAGAAGTGCATTTGGGAAACTCCGGCCCCTGCAGGTGCTGTGGGGGCGGGGGGGGTGCCAGGCCCCGGGGGGGGGGGGGGAGATCTCAAGCACCAGTTCCAGCTTTTCCACCCAATAACCCCGTTGCTCCCCTGTGGGCTCAGAAGGGGGTGCAGGTGTTAAACAGGAATTGGAGTTTGGAAGCCCGGCCCCAGCAAAGCTGCTCTCCAGCGGGACCTCAAGAACCTCTCTGAGACCCTGCATCTGAAAAGTGAGGGATGTACTTCCAGAGGCCCAAGAGTCTGTGTCCAGAAATAAGAAGGAACCGACTCAGGAGGTTGTACCTAGGGAGAAGAATGAAGCAGCACCATCACGTACCCTCAAAACAACCAAGCAGGGTGCCAATCCCTACAGCTCCCTGGGGAGGAGGGGGACTCCTGGCCTGGAGGAGGTGAGAGGGAGAACACACAGGGGCTGGGCTCTGGGAAAGTGTCAGGCCTCAGCCTGTGGTCGCTAAGCCCCCTAGTAAGAAGCAAATCCTGTTGGTATGGGCCTTTTCTAGGAGTGAGCACTTTCTCTCCAGGATTCCTAGGAGTTCATCACCCCAAAATTGCTAAGGATGACCACCTTAGAGATTCATAGAAAATAAGGAAAAGAAGAGAAGAGAGTATGAAACCTGGAAAACACTTTAGAAACCATCTGATCCAGCCCCTCTTTACCCGAAGAGGGAAAGGAGGCTCAGACAGGTACCACACCCCCCAGGAACCTGGCAGACTGGATCAGATCTGCCCTCCAGGCCCCCACAGCAGCTTATTTTCTTCATTCTACAGAGAAAAGCCACAGTTAAGTTAGGAGGTCTCAGCACATGGACAGCCCCGCCTGACTCTCCGGCAGTCACTTCCGAGATTCTAAACGGCATTAGAGCCTACAACTCTTACAATCATGATCCCGTGTGATTTATTGAACACTAGCAAATTAACCTCACCAAGCGCCCGGCCAGGAAAAAATAATATGCCAGTCATATGCTTATAACTTCCTCTTCCTCGATTTTGAGGTAACAATCGCCTCCACTGACCAAGTGCTATCTGGAGCTAATCTGCATCCCAACACATGTGCTGGGTCCCTGCCCAGAGCACCCAAGGGGACTGGGACAAGGGACCTGGCTGGGCCCCTGAATCTGGCCACCACTCTGGGTACCAGAGGCCTCCCTACACTACACATTTCTCTCTTGCCTCAAGGGACAGAATACTCCCAAATACTCTGGGGAAGCCACCAGCTGTATCCCAAAGGAAAAGCTCATTTAACTACAACCTCTTACCTTTGTTTTTTTAAGTGGGGGCTGCAGAGTGGGGACAATTTAAAATTCCAGAGCCTTCTGTCCCCAGGGCCCACCTCTAAAGCTCTGGGCAGTAGCAGATCTCACCTGGGCAGTTGTCCTGAGCCCTGGGGTCCTCTCTGTCTCTCTCTCTCCTTCTCCCTAGTAGAGGAGATTGAACCCCGTTCTGAGCTACATCCCAAGCCCCTTTTAATTTTTATCTTGGGCAGTACCTAAGTTGCCCAGGCTGGCCTCAAACTTCTGATCCTCCTGCCTCAGCCTCCCAGAGTTTTGGTGCTATAGGCATGCGTCACCATGCCCAGCCCTGGGGCTCACCAGGGCCTGGGGCTCCTCCCACCCCCAGAACTTGCCACGACCCTGGCTGGTGCCAACCTCCTTTCCCCGGGGGAAGGGACACCCAGGAGCCAGGTGCCGACCCCATTCGGGAACCTCTGCCCGCGCGCGCTGCCGGCCAGGTTCGCGGCTCTTCCGGCTGCCTGGTTTTGGGGCTCGCTATGTCCCCCATTAATAAGCTTCCCAGGCGAGCCAGAGCTTAGGAAAACTGAGTTTCACAGCGCGGCCAGTCTGGGGAGCAGGCGACAGGGACAGCGGCCGGACCCCGGCTCCCAGCGGCGCGCGTGGCGGGAAAGACGCGTCACGCGGGGTCACCTCGCCGCTTCCCCGCCGAGCTCCTACCTGCCCGCCTGCCTCCCAAACTCCCGCCGCTCCGCGATGTCGCCGCGGGCTGGGGAGCCCGGCTTTAAGGGTGGGGTGGGAGTGGGCGGAGCCAGTCCAAAGAGGGACAGCCGCTTCGACCAATGGCGCCCGGGAGGAGAGCAGGCACCGCCCAATCGGCGCGGCCCACCCGGCCCGCCTTCTTCGAAGCGCTCGGCTTTCCGAGAAATCACTGTGCTGTGCGGGGCGGCGGGCGGCGGGCGGCGGGGATCCGGGGCCCCCTCTGGGCCCCCACCCCCTCTCCTCGTCCGGGGCCGGGGCCGGGACCGGGGCCAGGGGCGGCGCGGGAGGGCGCTTCCCACAGGAATTCCCAAGGGGTGCGGGGGCGTGCGCCAGGCCAAGCCGGGTCGCGGCCCGGGTCCCCGCAGAGACCCCACGTGGCCACTCTGCACCGCGGCTGCCTGGAGCCGCAACAACCTCGGAGCCGCGGGGACCGCTGTCCCGGGAAACCTCGAGCGCGTGTCCCGAGGCGGCGGGCACCTGTCGCGTGGGGAAAACCATCGCCCTCCCCGCAGGCCCGGAGAGGGCCGGCGACTCGGGGATGCCGAGCGTCCACTCGGGGTCCGCACGGACCCTGGGGGCGCAGCCGGTCGGCTGGGTCGGGGACACCCTGCCCCACTCCGGGCGGCCTGCGTCCCCGCGTCCAGCCCGTCCTGGGTGAGCCGCGTGGACGTGGGTGTGGGAGTGGGCGCGACGCAGCGGAGGGAAGGCAGCAGGAGGCTTTCCGGGTCCGCTCCGCGCCGGCGCCTTAAGGAGAGTCAATGGACTTCTATGGACAGCTGGCCAATCACATCCGGCGCCAGCGCCCTTTAAGGCCACCTTACTCATCCGGCCTTTCAAGGACCTGTGGAGACGTTGGAGACCGAAAAAGAAATTTTTCTGGTTTCACAATTCCAAAAAAAAAGGAAAAAGAAAAAACACGGAAATTTTCAAATAGATATTCAAATAAAGGTCCCCAAAACATAGCAAGCCGACTTGCCAACTTCATAATTATAATTCATTGATTGACAAACGTTTTGTTACATTTGTAAATTAGAGATCACTCGGTACGAATTTCCTGAGACCATGATTACCAGGAAGTCAGAAGCAATCACAAAGTAATAAATCCAGTGAAAAGTGTTTTCAAAGCACAAATCCCTTGAGTGTTCTAATGGTCGCTGTGATGGGGGTGGCGCCTCCGGAAGCCAGAGCGCCTAGGGCCTCAGAAGTGCCTGGGGTCCCCTCCTGTGTGTGTGTACACGCATTTCTGCTCACAAACATGCCTTAACCCTGCATCAATCTCACACACGAGGCAGGCAGCACAAGGACAGGCTCAAGTTTCCACTCCGCACTGCCTTAGCAGAAGAGGGTGGGGAGTCCACATTCTTCCCGGGCACCAGGTGTCACTGTAGACATTGCAGGGCACCCTCCATGGCCAGGACAGCTGTCCCCAAGAGGTGATCCAGCGGCCTGGGGCCGATGTCCAACCTTCTCTCTTCAGTTCCACTCTTTCTTTCTTTCTTTTCTTTTCAGTGGTGGCGGTGGTGCTGGGCTTTGCCCTGAGGTACATCCCCATCCCATTTCATCATCTTTTTGTTCTTATTTTGAGACAGGGTCTCACTAAGTTGCTAAATTGCCCAAGCTGGGCTCTGACTTGAGACCCTGCTCCTGCAGCCTCCCAGACAGCTGGGGTTACAGGCACGCAGCACTGTGCCTGACTAATTCTGTTCTTATTTACTGGACATTTATTAAGCAACTACTGTGTGAGAGAGACGGTGCCAGTGAAAAGTGGATGTGGTGTTTCTCTCCCCTTGTTCCTGCCTGCTTCGCAAGCCCAGCGGGTTTGGTCTTGATTCCTGCACCAGCCCCTTCGCCTCCCTGCCTCCTCGCCCTGTCCCCGTTTCATCTACCAGCTGCTCCCACCTATCTTTGTGTCTTCTGTGGCTTCCTGGGGCTGTCACGTGGGTCTCATCCTGGCAACTAAACCGCATCCCCCAGCTCCACGGCTTCCCACAGCACCACACGTCACAGACAGGATGGGTTTTGAATTGGGCCCTTTCTTCATCCCGGCTCCCTGGCCCACACAGTGCGTGGCCCTGCGCGAAGATCAGTGAAGTCACCATTTTCTCCTCTGAATAACCGTTGCTAACATTGTCAGCAGTCAGCTGTTTGGGACCTACAGGAAAGACAACTTATTATAGCTAAACATAATTGTTCCTGCCTCCTAGGGCTGGTGAGGACCAGGTAAGTGTGTGTGTGTGTGTGTGTGTGTGTGTGTGTGCACATCCTCTCCTCCACCCTCATCGATAGGGCACAGGACACAGGTGAGAGACATCCAGAAAAGTGCACATGGTGTCTGACTCCACCTTCTGGCTGTTGATTGAGGCCAGGAACAATCACAATCTTCCTCTGTGGCCTTCACCTCCCTGGCCTCCTCTCGGATCCCTGCTCCTGGGAGGTGTGTGCCACCTCAGCAATATGGCCTCCCTCCACGCCCTTGTTCCCAGGCTTCCTGCCCTCCATTTGCCCTCCCCTGTCTGTCCTCCTCCTTCTGCTGAACTTTGGGCCCAAGTTGTCCATCTTTCTGCTCTGCCCAGCTTCTTTGGTGGCAGTGGAACCAGTAGGCAGGTGACAGAGGAAGGGCTCCTCCGACAGTGACCTCTGCCCAGATCCCTCAGAGACGCTCGACTCCAACAGTGCCTGCTATGGACGTGTCCCCAAAATTCCTATGTCCCCTGCACCCTAGGTGAGGGCATCTTGGCCGATAATCAGGGATGATGAAGGAGAAGTGTTCTTACAAGGGCACCCAGCGCTAGCTGCCCCGCCCCCAGACAGGGTCTCACGGGGTAGCTCAGCTGGCTTCCAACTCACTATGGAGCCCATTTGGCCTGCAACTCAAGATCTTCCTGCTGCAGCCTCGTGAGTGCTGGAATTACAGGCGAGTGCCACCATACCTGGCTTCTGCTCTCATCAGCGAGAAGGTGCCCGACTACAAGCCAGGACTCTCACCAGAACACAGCGCTGCCCCCGACTTCTGACCCGAGCCCTGGGAAGTGTGAGAAATCGAGCGGCCACTGTGGAAGCCATCTGGCTGACCGAGACAGCACCCAAGGGACCAAAGGAATCAAGCCCCACTCCTGGGCAGAGGAGCCTCCACCTCTCCTCCCATCCCTGGCTGCTCTCCCTGGCCCTGGAGCAGGATGCCCATCCTGTAGGTGAAGCAAGGGGGCGGAAGTCACCCACCCCACTGTCACTGCCCACTCCGCTCCCGGTACACAGCACAGGCCCAGGGCTTGCAGAGGGGACCTTCCATGCCTCCCTCCTCCAACCCCACCAGAACCCGGGGCATGAGGTTAAAAACCCTGGCACCTCTGTCCCGGAGGGAAGGGCGGGGAGCTGGTGACACATCCCTCAAGGGACCTTTGCCACCTCCTCCTTGGCATCTTCCACGCCCCCACTTAGCCTGCACTGCCCATGGCTCTGAAACAGGTTCCTGAGCGCTCAGCTTCCCTCAGCCCCCGGAAAGCCAAGGTCACCTGCAGGTGGGCTGCGTGCTTCCTGGAAACCACAGGGCACTTTGGTGGCAGCAAAGTGTGAGCCGCCATGCTGGGAGCGGCCCAGCCTCGAGTCCTGCAGGGAGACACACATGTGTGCCACGGGCCACCAGCAAGTGCAGGAGAGGCCAGCTTGGGGTCCTGCCCCACAGAGCCTCCTGGGGACAGGGGTCCTCGGGGCAGAGGTGGAGAGGTGTGGACTCCCAACCCTACATGAAAGAAGTGTGTCAGGCTTCAGTCATAAAGGGGGCCCAGCAGGAGCCATGGGGAGCCCCCAGAAATGTCCCGAGAGAAGCTCCAGTTGCCACCCTCCAGGTCCTCCAGGGATGGCACCATTAATTTCTAGACCCAGGGACACGAAACAGCCAACCCAGTGAGACCTCTCCCCTCTCCTCTTCCCCTGGCCTCCACAGCACACAGCACACATGACCGTGAGTCCTAAGTGCGGTGTCTTCACGTGCCACATACTTTTAATCCATGGTTGGTTGAATCTGCAGACAATGAACCTGAAGAAATGGAGGGCCAAATGTCTAGAGACTTAAGAGTGAGATCGGGGTGGGTGTGGGTGTGCATCTTATATCCTGGGACCTTGCTGAACTCTAGGTTTTGGAAGATTCTTTAGGACAATCATGCTGTCGGTCAATGGAAAGTTTTATTTCTTCTTTCCCAATCTCCTCCTCTTTTATTTCCTTTTGTTGCCATATTAATGCTGACCAGGAGTTTCTAGTAAAATACTGAACTGGAGAGAGGTTAAGAGTAGACATTCTTGCTTTGTTCTTGTTCATGGAAGAAAACTTTCATTCCTTCATTAAGTATGATGTTAGCTGTAGTTTGTTTGGATTATGATTTTCCTTTTATGAACAGTGGAATTTAATTTGAGCTTTTTTTTTTTGAGGATTTCTGCAATATGTTCATGAGGTAAATTGGTCCATAATTTTCTTTTCTTTTGTCCTTCCTTTATTGTTCACTGTTTGTCTGGTTTACATAATCAGGTTAATTCTGGACTCATAAAGAAAGGTGGAAAGTGTTTCATCACCTTCTGAGTTCTGATCCACTGAACTGACTGCTTCCCGTGTCGTTGGTCTGGTTTTCCCACTATTAACAGGTGGGAGAACCTCGCACTGAAGTCCAGCAGGTCGCTCAGCTCCTTGTCGGTCCCTATGGCAGCCAAGCGCTGTTGTTGGAGTTCATCTTTGGCCCCTTCTCGCAGCTCCAGCCTCCGGCGAAAGTTCC